GGAGGGAAGTTATCCGACAGCTCGCTGGGTGGCAAAGTGAGCTCTAGCGGCGTCGTCAGGGGCAGGTCCTAAAGGCGTAGGGTCGGGGAGCACAGGGAGGGCACCAGTAGTGTGCGCCCAGAGGGTCTCGCCTGCCTGGACCTGACTCTCTAACAGACGGCGAGCGCGAAGTAGCCAGACAGAAAATTCAAGAGGTCTACCGTCAGCGTCGAAACGAAGAACTCGCGGAGTCGCCATAGCGAGAACGAACGCAAAAGAGGAGCCAGGGGACAGCAGTAGGTGAGAGGCAAATTAGGGTTCGGCGGTACTCTGGGACAGGGGAGGAGCGGACGCCACAGCGGGCGTGACAGTGGGAGCGAACAGCAGACGAAGCAGTGGGCAACGGGAGCGGGCGCAGCGGCGGGCGACGGTGGCGCGCTCGGGAGCAGGGGCCAGCAGCGCGCGCAGCGGGCGACGGCAGGGGGCGCAGCGGCGACGCACGGAGCGGCGGGCGCCGCGGCGAGGCGCGCGGGGGCGGGCGACAACGGCAGGCGCGGCGGCGACGAGCGCGGCCGCGGGCGACAGCAGCAGGCGCTGCGGGGACGGGCGACGCGACGAGGGAAGAGGGCGGGCGTGACACGACGGGAGGAAAGCGACGCGACGGGGGGAAAGGGCTGGCGCGACGCGACAGGGGGAAGGCGACGCGACGGGGGGAAAGGGCGGGCGCGACGAGACGGGGGGAAGGCGACGCGACAGGGGGAAAGGGCGGGCGCGAAGAGACGGGGGGAAGGCGACGCGACGGGGGGAAAGGGCGGGCGCGACGAGACGGGGGGAAGGTGACGCGACGGGGGGAAGGCGACGCGACAAGGGGAAAAGGGGGGGGGGGGGGGGGGGAACGGTACGAAAGAGAGCTAGGCTCGGCGCTAGGCTCGGGAACAACGGTACCGTGACGAACAAGAGCTAGGATCAGGTTCGGGAGGTACGAACGGAGAGCGGTGGAACGGGATCCCACAGGATCCTAACCTAACTGATACCATGTCAGAATGAGGAATGAATGATGCATTGATGTTGGTTGAGGTACATATAGCTAACCCTAAGTTTTGTACCCCCTAAGACAATCCTCACTATAGGCTACAACATTTGACAATAACACTGCATGAAAAACCTATCTACCCTTCATGGAGTGAGCTGAAAATGGTAGGGGGATCTGGAAATAGTGTCATGAGGCTCCTCTATCAGTTTCAGTGCCTAATGACAAGGTTTGGTACAAGGAGAGCGCACGAATCCAAGAACAGGCAATTCTGCACAAGGTTTTGTCTTCCCTTCCATAACATTGCATCAATAACATATCTAGCCTTCATGAATTGAGCTGAAAATGGTAGGGGGATCTGGAAATAGTGTCATGAGGCTCCCCTATCAGTTTCAGTGCATAGTGACAAGGTTTGGTATGTGGCGAGCGCACGAATCCAAGAACAGGCAATCCTGCACAAGATTTTGTCTTCCCTTCCATAACTGTGCATGAAAAACCTATCTAGCCTTCATGGATTGAGCTGAAAATAGTAGGGGGGTCTGGAAATAGTGTTTTGAGGCTCCCCTATCAGTTTCAGTACTTAATGACAATGTTTGGTTTATGTCGAACGCACAAATCCAAGAATGGGCACTTCTGCACAAGATTTTGCCTTCCCTTCCAGAACATTGCATCGAAATCCTATCTAGCCTTCATTGAATTGAGTTTAAAATGGTACGGGGATCTGGAAATAGTGTCATGAGGCTCCCCTATCAGTTTCAGTGCTTAATGAAAAGGCTTGGTATATGGCAAGCGCACAAATCCAAGAACAGGCGATTCTGCACAAGGTTTTGTCTTCCCTTCCATTACATTGCATCGAAAACCTATCTAGCCTTCATAAATTGAGCTGCAAATGGTAGGGAGATCTTGAAATAGTGTCCTGGGGCTTCCCTATCAGTTTCAGAGCTAAATGACAAGGTTTGATATGTGGCTAAAAAAAACATAAGTCTATCGTAATCATTAAACACACACACACACACATACATACACACACATACACACACACACACACACACACACACACACACATATACACACACACACAAATAAAAAACAAACAAAAAAACAAAAAAAACTTCTTAACATTCAGCCAATTCTGTGACTTGCAGTAATGTTTTCAACCTCAGGTTTTTTTCTTAACACTTTGTCAATAACTAAGGTAAAATTGATTGTAAGATTTAACTAGCAGCAATGAAAGTGAAATATACATTTGTTCAAGCCTAAATTGGGTTCAGAAGTGTAAAACCTCATATGTTCATAACAAATTGTGACACTTGTCGGAAATAGAAGTTGGTTCCAGGGTAAAATGAGCTAGTACTAGATGCGTCGATTTGTGTTCAATACGCTGTTCACTTTTTGGATCCACTGCAGAGACACGATGGACCACCGCATTTGTCATTCCAGCTCATTGTTGTTGCACTTCGTTCCTATCTTCTGTTGGTCCGATAAGCGAATACGTCATCGCTGGAGTGTTCTGTAATTGGTGTACATCATCTTCATCGACCTTTTTGGCGATAAGGTTCGTTGTAATTGGTCGGTTTTTGCCCTTGCACACTGGGCAACACGCTGCTGAACTGTACAACTAGCGCAGTTGCGCTGGATTTGGCAACTCCAGTGCAACTGCGCATGGATTTTGCAACTGCTAAATGCGCAGTTCCTGCAATTGCCAGCAGCGCAATTGCGCCAACCGCAACCTGCGCGCAGATGCTTGAACTGCCTCCAGCGCACCCACCGAACTACGAGCGCAACTCTCCTTCCCCCAGCAGCGGAACTCACCCGCACACCCCAACTATCCTGCCCCTCGCTGCTCTCGTTCATTCAGTCCCGACTTGCGTCATTTTCATTGTTGCGCTTCTAGTTTCTTTACTGCAAGTTTTTTTGGGTTCCTTGGTGTATGTCGCTCCCTCCAGTTCAACTCTCCCCTACACATATCTCCCGTCCCCGTTTTGTGCACCCCCATGACGGTGGCTCCCTACGTTACCGATCGCGAGTGGTGTAATAGCTTGTTGACTTACCAGTATTTTTGTTTACGTTCTTCAGTTCTTTCTCTCACCGTTGGCATATTCTCTTGGCGCTAACTCTGCTAACCATATTTGGTATTCTCAGTGTTGCAGGGATATGTACTCTTGCAGTTCTTACAGTTCCTTTTTGTCTTTGCAGGGGTGTATATCACACTTCTTACTTGTATTGTTACTGTGTGTGTTCGTTTGTTCCTTGTTTCGCTCCACTTTTCCCTGTTATGTCTAACAAGTTCTTACTTATGTTGTCTCCTTCTATCGTTGCTGATACTAAGGTAGCTAAAGTAGCAGAGCTATGGTTTGATGTATTTGCAGCAGAGATGTGAGATAAGAGAGAATCAGCACCAACATGTGTTTTGTCGAAATCTGGAGTAATGATACCCGTCGTTGTAGAGTGGTTGTGTATGATTATGTAACACAAGACATAGTGCAAAATGTAGTGCTATTCCTTCTGATCTATTACCAATTCATTAATATAGTTAAGAATTTAATTTCGGGAATACGTCTCTCTGCAGAAGCAAATTTCTAAATTATTGATGTATTCATTGTTAAATATATTAAATTTCAGCAGAAATATAGTACCCTGTACAATTTTTTTTTTGTATGCATTATCTCAAATAAAGCAGAAACATCTGTGTGACCAAAGTGCGGTCAAACCTGACACTAGGCAGAAATCGCCCCAAAACCATCCTGAACCCTGTTGATAACGAACCCTGAGATGTGGAGGTGGAACGCCCGAAATTCGTGTGCATACTAGTCGAGCCACTGCATTGGTTTCAGGCGGAAAAAGACCCTGCTTTCCAAGCTGATTTCAGCCGCGATCCTGTAATTGCACTGGAAACCAGCGAAAAAACAAGACCTGGTTCTCACGGGCCATGAGACAGTAAGGTGTTTGTCGAATGGATGTCTCTAAAATTGCGCAAGTTAGTGTCCATTAGTATAGTTGTATTTGGGCCATAGGTAGGAATTATTCGCTTATTCTCAGTCTGTAAGCTCAACTCCAGGAGTTGGATGACGGGAGGGGTTCTCGTGTTCGCATTTCCATCCTAATTTTTGCCCATTCTCCTCGTGAAGGCCTTTCGTTTTTGTTGGGGTTGTCTCTTGGTGGGTACTGTTCCAAAGCCAACAGTACTTTCAAAGTTGCATCCAATGTCGCGATTGTGAGCTGCTTGGCCTCCGCCTCGATGTCGTTGCTGCCAGCACAAAACTGTATGAGTGACGATTTGCAACCTTTCCACTCTTTTATGTCAAACTTGCTCTGCGCGTACACTTTATTTAAGTGCTCATTCCGCAATGTAGGATCATTGGGTGTCCGTGCGAGACTGACGAGTCGTTCCCATCGGAAAAAGTGTTTGGGTGTCGGTGCAAGACTGACGAGATCGTGCCCGTCGGAAAAAATGTTCACATCTCAACGCAAGTTGTCGTGTTTGGTTCCGTGGACACATTACTGTTGACATCATGACATGTGCTTGAGCCAGCAAGTTGGAGATCCCAAATGACATCACTGTACATACAAAACGTTGGAAGACCCTAGCAACGAAGCCCGAACAACAAATGTTGGTACAGCCTGCTCCCTAGCTTTCGACTTGTTGTAGGGCGGGTCAGGCGTAGTTCGTTTTTAGTTCAAGTATCACTGGGCGGACGGGGGGTTGAAGCAAGGTTCAAAGTGGTGGAGCAAGAATACCGCTTTAAAATGCACAACAACGTTTTCCACCGCATACACTGAACGAAAAACGAACGAAGTTTGCCCGACAAATGTTGGTAAGTTTCCCTTACCAACGTTTCCCCTCCCTCTCCTGCCAACCAACGTTTGCATCTGCAGTAAGCCTACGTTGCCTTCACCGCGTTTTACTTTGAGATACAATTTCCCATGAGCTAGTTTCAGTCATGGGCATCGGAGCTCATGGATGAATTATTCCTTCGCTCATAGTAACCGAATGACTCGTGTATTCCCTACGAGGCGTACGTTGCAATGGTTGATGGTGGCGAGTACGAGGACAAGGGGGAGGAAGGGTACGCAGAAAGAGGGCAAAAATAACAAGGGGAAGACTTGGCTGATGCGGGTGAAGGAGGCGAAGAGGGGCGAGGTGCAAGGTACATTAATCAGGAAGGAGAGGATTTCGTACAAGAAATGGAAGGAGGCGAGGATTTGCGGAGGAGGAAGAGAATTAGCAAGAGGGAGGAGCAGCAGATGGATACGCGATGGGAGCGGGTGGAGGGAATGGACCAGAAGGGGAAGAAGGATTTGCGGAGGACGGGGTGGCGGCATTTGCAGATGCGGGTGAAGGAAATGCGAACGCAGGAGACGGGGTGCTGAATCAGGCAACGGAAGAGGGGGAAGGCTACGCGGGAGAGGGGGGGGAGGATATGCGGGAGATGGGGGAGAAGGATGCACTGTAGAGGGGGGAGAAGGATACGCGGGAGAGGGGGAAGAAGGATACGCGGGAGAGGGGGAAGAAGGATACGCGGGAGAGGGAGAGGTAGGTGACGCGGGAGAGGGGGGAGAAGAAGATGTGGGAGAGGGGGGAGCAGGGTATGCGGGAGTGGGGGGAGAAGGATATGCGGTAGAGGGGGGAGAAGGAGATGCGGGAGAGGGTGGCGAGAGATATGCGGGGGATGGGGGAGCAGGATATGCGGAAGAGGTGGGGGAAGGAGATGCCGGGGAGGGGGGAGAAGAAGATGCGGGAGAGGGTGGAGCAGAGTATGTGGGAGAGGGGGGAGCAGGATATGCAGGAGAGAGAGCAGAAGGATATGCTGGAGATGGGGGAGCAGGATATGCGGGAGAGGGGGGGGAACGCTTACATAGGAAATGAGGGGGGGGGGGGGTACACGGCAGCGGATGGTGAAGGATTCGCGGAAGAGAGGAGACCGGGATACGCAGCAGAGGCAGAAGGGGAAGGCCAATGCGACGGAGAGGAGGCTAATGAAGGGGCAATGAACCCGTTCAACGGAGAGGAGGGCGCCGCAGTCAGTTTCGGTGAAACTAACGTACCTACCCATGCGCCCATCCATGGAGCTGAAGGCGAGGAAGACATCGAGCAGATAATGTTCCCTAGAACGCAGGCAAGACTCACACAACAGAGTCAGGTGTCAACAATGGATGAGGATGTTGAGGCGGAGAGAGCGTTTGAGCGGGGTAAGGGGAGAGCAATTGCAGCGCTGAATGCTCCTGCTGCCGCGGGACGTGGAAGCTTGCTCCAAAACGCCAAACGTGTTGCGAGGAAGCGTGACCGAGAGGAAAAATTACCAGAGAAACCCACTCGGCAAGCGCGTGGAGTGGGGCGAGGCAGAGGGCGAGGTGGGGGCAAGGAAGATGTGCGTGGAGGTGAGTGTGTGAAAGGATGTTGCTGTGGTTGGGGCGGATGGCGAGGCGGCGGGCTGGGCGGAGGCTTGGGCGATGGTATAGGCGAAGGGATAGGCAAAGGGAGGGGAGGAGGGCGAGGGGGGGAGAGGCCAAGGGAGATGCGGAGAGAGAGGAGGGAGGGGCGGTGGACAGGGAGGGGGGCGCGGCGATGGGACGGGTGAGGTGCGGGGCGGGGGGAGGGTGGGAGGGCGAGGTGGCAATCGGGGTGGCGGACGAGGAGCCGAAGGTGGCAGAGGCCGAGGGGATTGCACAGGACGAGGAAGAGGAAGGGGATCAGCAGGTAGGCAAATGATCATCCTTCCCCATACCCTTGCTCCCTGCCTGCCTTTGCTGCCCTTCCATGGCAGGCTTATGAGTAGAATATAAGCTCTGACCTAATCAGGCATGCGATGTTTCTTGCATGCGATGTTTTTTACTTTCGTGACAGTGAACCTCTTGAACACGGGCGTTGGGCCGCCCATAGATATGTGTCATGTTCAACTGGCTCCGGCGGCACCAGGGCAGCGGTTTCAGAGTGCGGTTCAGCTCCAGCCCGTGTCACGTGCTCCGGCAGGGGTAAGTGCACATCAGCCGGTGGCCGTCGCGGGAGGACACCGTCCAGTAGTTGCAGCAGCCCCACGTAACATGGAGAATGCACACTCTACCGCTTGTCCGCCACGAACCGCCCTGTCTGTAGGCCGGGTCGGCAGTGCCTACGCGTCTCAAGGCTTAGGCAATGCCCACCCGGCAACTTCAGCCCCTGCATTATTACGGCCTGGGGTGAGCAACGGTAACGGGATGTCAAGCTCACCACGGGCTGCCATGCTCGGTGCAGGTGCTGCAAGCTGGGGCGGTGTTGCGTCGTTCAGACTGGGTTTAGGACAAGCAGGGCAGCCTGCGCCATCTACTTCTGCAGAACATGGCACCCGTATGATACCTCAGGTTTGGCTCCCGTAGCCTCCCCCAACTCACCGGTCTCAATCGGGCGTGCACGGGGTAGCACTGGGGATAACAGTGCACCGGGGAGCAGTGGGCAGCCCGGTGATATGCGGGGAGGTGTGGGTCTCACCGCATCGGGTGGTCGTGGTCATGCAGTGATGCAGTCTGGAGGGTCCAATATGGTTGGTAGGTCGCATGGGAATGCAAACGGGGGTGGTATCCATGGGGAAGCATGGGCAGCAGCACCTCTCCCGTCAAACGGCAGTCAAGGTCATGCACCATCGGCTGGCCATTCATCTGGTTCCCGCGAACCCGATGCGGCAGCCTCAACAGGGTCATTTTTGAGACGTCTCAAAAAACAGGGTCTCAGAGGCCGGTTGCTGTTCCAAGGCCAGGAATCGGGGCTGCGCAGCCCAGGCCCTGTGCTGTTGCCTCTGTTGCTGAAAAAGTTGCTCAGAACTCCTATGCCATGAAGGTTGATCAAGCATTACTGCGGACTGAGATGTTTGCAGCGTTCGAAGGGCAACTCTGCAGCAAATGTGCTGGATGTGGCAAGCATGGTGCAACTCCGGTGGGTGGCGGAATGCAGCAAAGTGGTCCAACTGAGGTGGTGGCCCCTGTCATCACGAATGTACAAGGTGTTTAACGCGTTCTTCATTGCGCTAATGTACACATCCCCATGTGGCAGAAATTCTACACCAAGCTGGTCATGTGATTCTTTTGGACGTACGGGGCAACTGGCATCTAACTGTATCCCAACGACGCCGAGGCCCTCCAGGGCTTTGAAAGGATTATGTCGCCCGCAGCTTCTCCGCACCTGAAGACATTGTGGACTTACGAGGTGCGCGAAGACCTTGAAACCGTTCACCACCTGCTGCTCGAACACGAGACTTCGAAAGATCGTGCTAACCACACTAGGCAGCAAGAAGAAAAGACACAATGTCAAGGATCTCCCCGATAGTCTCGAGAACCCCACGAAGTTCTTCGAAGACGCAGAGCTATTGAAGCACTACATGGACGGTGAGTAAACGAGCACGATGGGCTGCTTGGCATCCCCTACCCACCCCTTGCTCCCTTCCCAGTCAAGCTAGCCACCTCATCCCCACCCCCTTGATCCCTTCCCCTCTGTGCCCTTCCCCGTCAGGCCAGCCATCTCAGCACCATGCCCTTGCTCCCTGCGCCTTGATCCCTTCCCCTCTGTGCTGTTCTCCGTCAGGCCAGCCATGTCACCACCATGCCCTTGCTCCCTGCGCCTTGATCCCTTCCCCTCTGTGCCCTTCCCCGTCAGGCCAGCCATCTCAGCACCATGCCCTTGCTCCCTGCGCCTTGATCCCTTCCCCTCTGTGCCCTTCCCCGTCAGGCCAGCCATCTCAGCACCATGCCCTTGCTCCCTGCACCTTGATCCCTTCACCTCTGTGCCCTTCCCCGTCAGTCCAGCCATCTGAGCACCATGTCCTTGCTCCCTGCGCCTTGATCCCTTCCCCTCTGTGCCCTTCCCCATCAGGCCAGCCATCTCAGCACCATGCCCTTGCTCCCTGCGCCTTGATCCCTTCCCCTCTGTGCCCTTCCCCGTCAGGCCAGCCATCTCAGTGTCAGAATATAATATTGTGTAGGCTATAGTGGGGTATGCAGTAGTGAGTACAACCCTGTTAGGGTTTCTACTTGTATCCCACCTGCCTGTTAGTCAACCTCTCTTTTCTGTTCTAATTCTTGCCTACTGTTTCAACATGCTATCAGAGCAGGTCGACCCTCCCTGGTCGATCCTGTGGGTGGGCCCACCCAAAGCTTCCACTGTTGTCCTGACTGTCGCGCACCCCGTGGCGCGCGACGTTTTTTCTTCCCGCCACGCGCTCGGGGCGCATGGCGGTTTTCTGCGAGTGCGCGGTGGTTTTCTGCCCGTCGTGCGCCCCGAGGCACGCGGCGGTTTCCGCCCCGCGCGTCCCCCCCGTCGACCGTCGCGTCGTCCCTGGGGACCCACGCGCGCCCCCCGCGATCCCGTCGCATCGCTCTGGGGACCCACGCGCGGCCCCCGCCATCCTGTCGCGCCACCCTGGGGACCCGCGCGCGCCCCCTTCGCTCCCGTCGCGCCGCCCTGGGGACCCGCGCGCGCCCCCTGTGCTTCCGTCGCGCCGCCCAAGGGACCCGCGCGCGGCCCCCGTCCCCCCTTGCGCCGCGAGCCTTCTTCTTCCCCACGGGTGGCGAGTGTGGGGGTGGCGAGTATGGGGGTGGCGAGTATGGGGCTGACGGGTGTGTGAGACCTCCCCTACTCCTCCTCCTCTCTCCCACTACTGCAGCTGCCGCTGAGGGGGGTGGATGTGTGGGAGCCGAGGGAGTCGCACCAGGGGGTGCAGTGGGATTGGTGCTAGGAGTTCAGCAGGGGGTGTGTGAAAAAGGGGATTGGGACAGTAAGGGGAGGTTGAGCTGAGGTAGTCGTCGTGACGCCAGCAGCACCAATAGTCCGGATGTCGTCGTTGCTCCGGTAGCCCGTGAGCCCGTTGCACCAGTCGCCCGTGGGTCAGTTGCTCCAGCCGCTCGTCTAGCTGTGGAGCCAGTTACTCCTATAGTCTGGTAGCCGGCGTGCTCCGGTAGCCAGTGTGCCTGTTGCTCCAGTCGCCCGTGTGCCAGCAGCTTCAGCCGCCGCCTCCAATCTCCTCTCCTCCCTTAGTTCTTCTTCCTCCGCCTCACTTGCCCTCTGTTTCCACTACTAGCTTATGCATGTGAACTTCTTATGTGATTGTTTGCTGTGCTGATCATACCCCACTTTGCCTATGGGGGTGTGTCAGAATATAATATTGTGTAGGTTGTAGTGGGGTATTTTGTAGTGAGTACAACCCTGTTAGGGTTTCCTACTTGTATCCCACCTGCCTGTTAGTCAGCCTCTCTTTTCTATTCCAATTCTTGCCTACTGTTTCAACACTCAGCACAATGGCCTTGCTCCCTGCGCCTTGATCCCTTCCCCTCTGTGCGCTTCCCCTTTAGGCCAGCCATCTTAGCACCATGCCCTTGCTTTCTGCGCCTTGATCCCTTCCCCTCTGTGCCCTTCCCCGTCAGGCCAGCCATCTCAGCACCATGCCCTTGCTCCCTGCGCCTTGATCCCTTCCCCTCTGTGCCCTTCCCCGTCAGGCCAGCCATCTGAGCACCATGCTTTTGCTCCCTGCGCCTTGATCCCTTCCCCTCTGTGCCCTTCCCCATCAGGCCAGCCATCTCAGCACCATGCCCTTGCTCCCTGCGCCTTGATCCCTTCCCCTCTGTGCCCTTCCCCGTCAGGCCAGCCATCTCAGCACCATGCCCTTGCTTTCTGCGCCTTGCTCCCTTCCCCGGCATGCAAGCCACCTCAGCCCTGCCTGGACCATGAGCATACAGGTGCACACACGCTCTCACCATCTCCACTCACCCCATCCCCTTGCTCCCTGCTTATTGCTCCCTTCGACGTCAGGCCAGCCACCTGTGCCACCTCAAACCTTGTTTCCAGCCCCTTGTTTAATTCCGTGTCAGGCCAGGTACCTCTGCCCTGCCCCCCATGATCATGGCCTTGCTCGCTCGGAGGAGACACACAATCCCTCACCCTCTCCGCTCCCCCCTCAACCCTTGTTTCCAGCCCCTTGCACCCTTACCCGTCAGGCCAGCCACCCATGCCATGCTGCATGATCATGCCCTTGCTCGCTTGGTGGGAGCTCTCAAGGTCTCAACCTCTCCGTTCGCCCCAATCCCCTTGTTTCCAGCCCCTTGCTCCCTTCTTTCTCAAGGCCAACCACCTGTGCTCTGCCCTCCAGAGCACTCACTGTGTCTTGCTCCACTCCCTAACTTCTTTTAACATCCCTTTACCAATTTACAGAGGAATGGGGTCCGGACTGGCACGTAGACAAGGACACAAAGTGGCCTTTTTCGAGCGCCATTTTCAGCCTGGGAATTTTCAAGGCATTTGTGAGAACAGGCCTGACACTGGGGGTATGGAAGACCCGCCAGATTACCTTTGCATTGTTCGCTGTAAGTACTAGCCGATTGATTTTGCATTCATTTTTTTACTCGCATCCAGAAATTCAATTTCAATGCGAAGACCCTATTTTGCAGCTGGAAAACCCTATCTTGTCGAAGACCGCAGAAGGGAAGCTGAGCAGCAAACCTGGAGTCAACAGGTCACAGTCACAAGGTGCCGACAATGGGTGGAGCATGCAGTAACAAACCTTGGCGTGAGTTATGATGCCACCAGGGATGTGTTTTTGTTCGACAACAACATCCTCATTGATGCAAGTGATACTTCTTCTAGATTGAAGAAGTCGACTATTGTTTTGGATTAGTGTAGCATGTTTGCTGAATTTGAGGTTTATTTTGATTATGCACCTTTTATTTCTAGAAACGTTTATTGGATTTGAACTGAAGAAATAGCAGTTAAGATTTTGAATAATATATTGAAATACAAATAAATATACATTCAATTATCACTTCTCTTTACGAATATAATTGTGAAATCCAAATTACTGCGCAAAAATCATTGTTCTTTCCCTATCTGAAGTTTCGGGACTGTCAAAGTTTATGGATGAACGATGGTGGCGGAAATCCGCCGGAAATCGTATATGTTTTCCAAGAGAAAACGTTGAGCTTTTCCGAGATTGAAATCCAACGGAATTTCCTGTGGTAATGCCATCGCACCACTCGTTGGAAATCAATCGGAACAAGACGAAAGTTCCCCAACGGATTTCCATTGGTTGAAAAGAAAGCAGACTGCAAACCGACTGTCTTCAGGCCTGGTTTTTTGTGATGTATCAGGCCTCCGACTGACCTCCGAAAGCAATGCTGACGCAGCATTTATACATCCAATGATGACAATAGCTGGCGATCCTTTAGAAAAACTAGTACTGGGTGATGATGGTAACAGCCCTATCGCTAGTAGCTCTTCGTCTGGCCTATTCTCCTGTGTTGCACCGTTCGCAATCGCATCCCCGCTCGAACGATCTTCACGCTCTGCCCTATGCATCGCGGCTGTCACTGACTCGCGGCTTGCTTCATTACTCCTCACCGCCGCAGCAGCCGGCGTCGCGCGCATCGTCGTGCGGTTCGGCCCGTGTCGGACGCGGCACTCGTCTCCGCCGAGCCGCTGGCTGCTGCGCCTGCAGCAGGAGTTGCACGCATCCGTCCCCCCATCAACCTCCGCGGCTCATCCCCCACCAGCAGCTTCCGCAGCTATTCCTCCCCAACCATCTACCCCCCCCCCCCCCCCCCCCCCCCCCTCCCGCGACAAGGGGAGCGTCTTTCCCCCGTAGAATCGGGAACAGGTGTCGACATACGGGCAGGACGCAGGAACATGATGATTCAGACATGGGGAGGATCACAAAAAGCCGCAGCGATTGTCAAACATTGCATGTTTATATTGTCTAGGCTGTAGTGGGTTACACCTTAGGGGGTACACAAAGTTAGGGTTTCCTACTTGTACCAAACTCTGTTCTAGTTCATTCATTCCTGCTCAGTTATTTCTGACATGGTTTCAGAGCAGGTCCTTCGCTAGGACTGTTCTTAGGGCCCACCGACTTACCTACCTGCTTACCTTCGCTTCTTTTCGGCCCCGATGGCCCCGTCGATCTAGCACGATCTAGCGGCCCTGCGGCCCCTTCGAATTTTTTTTTAGCGGCCTCTCACGGCCCCCGTCGCGTCGCCCCTTAGCGCCCCGATCGGCCCCGTCACGCCGCCCGCGAACCGCACAGCGCGCCGCGCTCACAGCCCGCGAACCGCCCACGCACAGCCCGCGAACCGCCTGCGCAGCCCGCGACCAGCCCGCGCAGCCCGCGCACAGCCCGCGAACTGCCCGCGAGCAGCCCGCGACCTGCCCGCGAACCCCCGCGAGCCGCCCGCGACCCGCTTACGCAGCCCGCGAGCAGCCCGCGCTGAGCCTGCGCGGCTCGTGCGCTGACCGCCGCCGGCCCGCACGCTGCCCGCACTGCTCCCGGCCCGCCGCTGCTGAGCCCGCAGCCGCCCGCGCACCGCCGCTGCTGCGCCCGCTGCCGCCCGCGCACCACCGCTGCTGAGCCCGCAGCCGCCCGCGCACCGCCTCTGCTGAGCCCGCCGCCGCCCGCGCACCGCCGCTGCTGCGCCCGCTGCCGCCCGCGCACCACCGCTGCTGAGCCCGCCGCCGCCCGCGCACCGCCGCTGCTGCGCCCGCCGTCGCCCGCGAATCACCGCTGCTGAGCCCGCCCCTGCTACGCCGGCTCTCGCTGCCGCCTGCTGCGCCTGTGCACCACTGCATTCCTACTACTACACTTTCTGCTACTACTGCTTGTGCGCCACTACAGTCCGTAGGCCCCACCGGCCCCGCTGACCCTGCGCACGCCTTTTCAGTGACTTTACTGCTTCTACTACTGCCGCTGTCGCTATGGCTAGTCCTCCTGTTCTAGCTTTCGACGCCGAGGGCCGTCCGGTCAAATTCGAAACCTGGCTAGATGACCTGCACCTTTTCCTACAGCTCACTGCCAAGGAAGATATTACACTGTACGACCACGCTCTCGGCCATGCGACCGCCCCACTCGCTACTGCCCCCCCAGCTGAGCGCTCACAGTGGCAGACCCGTGACGCGCACGCTCGCTTTGCTATTCGCAACTCCCTGCCGCTAGATGAGCGCGAGCACTTCGGCCAGTGCAAGACTGCTAAGGACCTCTACACAGCTGTAGTGGCCCGCTACTCCTCACCCGCTTCTGCCACACTAGGCCGCCTCACTCTCCCCTACCTGTTCCCCGACCTAGCCTCCTTTCACACTGTCGCAGACCTCATCACCCACCTTAAGACTAGTGAGGCTCGCTTTCGCGCTGCCATGCCTGATGAGTTCCTCGCTAGCAACCCCCCCCCGCTCTGGATCACTCTCTACCACGTTGTCACCCGCCTCCCTGACTCTCTGCGCCCTGTCAGGGACCAGTTCCTCTCTCGCTCCCCCACTGAGCTCACCATAGCCCTCCTCGAGAAGGAACTGCTTGCAGCCGAGGCTAGTATCGTCGCTGTAGGCACCTCTCGTGGCGACCCCCGCGGCCCCTTCTTCGAGGGGTGCTCCCCTTCCCCCCTCCTCCCCTCTGTCGCCTCTGCTGCTGCTGTCGACCTCCTTGGTGCTGAGAAGGTCGGGGCTGCGTCTGCTTCAGGCGGACGACGCAGGGGCAGGAGTGGCAGGAGTGGGGGTGGTGGCGGAGGAGGCGGGGGTGGAGGTGGTGGCGGTGGAGGTGCGACTGGAGAGACTAGTGGCGGCAGTGGTGGAGGTGACAGCGGTGTTGGGAGTGGTGACAGGGGCGGAGGTGGCAGCGGAGGCGGAGGTGGTCGTGGCAGCGGCAGGGGTGGAGGTGGCCGGGGCGGAGGCGGAGGGGGTGGTGGTCGTGGAGGCCCGGGGGGCGGTCAGAGTCAGCAGCCTTCCCCGACCCTTCAGGCCGCCCGTGAGTGGTATGCGCGGCGCAGCGTCACCTGCCAGTACGTTATTCGTACAGGTGACCGCACTGGCCAGATGTGTGGGGGGCCGCACCAGACGGAGCGCTGCTTCGCCCGCCTCAACGATGCGTGGCGCACCCAGTTTCCTGGTGGGGGTGAGCTGCCGCGCTGGGCTGATCTGCTCAGGAAGGGTGTTGATATTTGGGCACTTGACTTTGATGCTATTCTCACTGCCATGTATGCGATGTCTATTAGTGGAGAGGGTGCTCAGTACTTGCGTGTTCCGCCCGACCCGGGCATTCAGGCCAGCCCCGCTGCTGCTCTAGGTGCTAGTGTGTCTGCTTCCACAGGTACTACTGCAGCTGCTGCTCTAGGTGCTTGTGCGTCTGTGCCCCCTGGTACTGAGTCGACTGCAGCACTGCACACCTTCACACTGGACTCAGGTGCTTCTCGCTCTTTCTTTCGTGACCGCACTGTCCTTGAGCCTCTAGCTCGGCCGGTTGCTGTCTCTCTTGCTGACCCCTCTGGGGGTCCGGTCCTTGCGACCTCCTCCACCACCCTTCCGTGTCCAGCGGTTCCGTCCGGCACACTCTCAGGTCTCTACCTCCCCTCGTTCTCCACGAACTTGGTGGCAGGTAGTGCGCTCCAGGACTCGGGTGTTCACCAGTTCACCCCTGCCTACGAGCGTGTGACTCACTGCACGTGTGCTCGGACGGGCCGCCACCTGGCTACTTTCACTCGAGAGCCGGGGTCTGACCTGTACACACTGACCACTGAGTCCCCTCAGGTAGCTGCGTCTGCGTCTGCGTCAGGTCAGCTGTCCGCCCCCTGCTCGTGTCGCTCTCTGGCGAACGACACCGTCCTCTGGCACCACCGCCTTGGTCACCCGTCTGTGCAGCGCCTGCGGGCCATGCACAAACGGGACCTTGTTGCTGGTCTTCCCAGGGTGCTCCCTCCCCTTCCTGACTCCCCTGCTCCTGACTGCATTCCCTGTGTCGAGGGGCGGCAGCGCGCCGCTCCTCACTCCTCCTCCTTTCCCCCGACGACCGCTCCCCTGCAGACGCTCCACATGGACGTGTGGGGCCCAGCCCGCGTCCGTGGTCAGGGTCAGGAGAGGTACTTCCTGATAGTTGTTGACGACTACTCGCGCTACACCACGGTCTTCCCCTTGCGCGCCAAGGGTGACGTCCCTGGTGTTTTGATCCCCTGGATCAGTCGAGCCCGTCTCCAGCTAGGCGAGCGCTTTCACTCGGACTTTCCTGTCCTGCGCTTGCACTCTGACAGAGGTGGTGAGTTTGCCTCCGACCTCTTGGCAGCCTACTGTGCTGAGCACGGCATTGAGCAGTCGTACACGCTTCCGGCCTCTCCACAGCAGAATGGGGTTGCTGAGCGCCGCATTGGCTTAGTCATGGAGGTCGCTCGTACCTCCCTGACCCATGCGGCTGCTCCCCACTTTCTGTGGCCGTTTGCGGTCCGGTACGCTGCGCATCAGCTCAACCTCTGGCCCCGTGTCTCCTTGCCGGAGACTTCCCCGACTCTGCGGTGGACGGGAGAGGTTGGCGATGCGTCGCGTTTCCGGGTCTGGGGATCTCGAGCCTTTGTCCGCGACACGTCTGCGGACAAGCTCTCACGTCGCACTGTTCCCTGTGTCTTTCTTGGCTTTGTTCCCGACGCGCCTGGATGGCAGTTTTACCACGTCACCTCGCGCCGGGTTCTGGCCTCTCAGGACGTCACTTTTGACGAGTCCGTCCCCTTCTACCGCCTCTTCCCCTACCGCACTGCCC